CTAGAATATAGCTTGTCTTTCTTCTAAAGAAAAAATATTGTTTTTGAATATTTTTGGTAGATAAACTAAGCATTTTTCCTGCTAGAAGCCAGATGTAATCCTAGTCTTTAACAATTAATGCAGAAAAAATACCTCAGTAGATAGATTAGTGGAGAAACAAAAATTTAGCAAATTAGCCTAAATTATAAGTTGAATTGCATTAGTGTTGATTAATTTTGCCCAAAATCATTTAAAATTTTACTAATAAAATCTGATAAAATCCAACTCATAATTTAGGTCAATCTGTTGAATTTTTGTTTTTTTTTGCTAATTTATTTGCATTAATACCTTTATAAGTCTAGCATTACTTTTCTAAAAAATTTTGCTAACTATATGATCTTATTAAAAAACTATTTTGCAATTAGTTTAAAGTTAGGGTTTCACTAGTAGATTAATGTTTGGTTTAAAAAGATATAGTTATAGTAAATTTTACAAGAAATTTTTTTTGTTAGTATGCAGAAGGCACTTTTATAGGCAAAATTTTAAGCTATGAGCGTTTTTTTGTTGGTTTGACTTTTTTACACTACTTTTCATTACACAAGATCTTGAAATCTGATTGGCCAATGAAATTAATTAGGGTGGTAATTTAACTGCTATTCAGCCAGAAATTCTACAGACAGAGCTTAGAAACAGAGCAGAATCACGTAATACTATAAAACCTGCTCTGTCCCTGCTGCAAATCTTACATTTTTGATACCTTTGCACTTACTTTTTTGATACACCTAAACATATCCTAAAACTAACCAATAGAACTGTATGTTTTTATAATAAAACTTTAATAAAAAGTATAAAAATTTTAGAGTATGTTTAGATGTATCAAAAAAGTAAGTGCAGAAGTATCAAAAATGTAAGTTTTGCGTCTCTGCTCTGTCCCTAACCGATAATTAACCAATCACATGATTCTGCTCTGTCCCTAAGCTCTGTCCTTAGAATAGCACCTCAGATCACCTGAGGCACCTCATCTAATGATTGAAATCTGATCTGAAGCACAACATATTCATAGATATAAAAAACATCATGATGTGTTTTAGTAAAAGTCTAACTTTTAAAGGCTACCATAATGTGCCATATAATTAGACTCGGGAGTCTTGTGTATGGGTGTGGGTATGATAATTGGTGTTTATTCTATTTCTTTATTTTTTTCTTAGTACTGTATTTTCCAATTTGCATACCCGGGTCTTTTACATTTTACCAAAATTTTATCCTATATTATAGACCTGGGTCTAATTCATGGGGGATCTTTTATATGGCACATTAGCCATCTTAGCCTTATACTTAATTAACCATGTTTAATTAATTAGCCATGGCTAATAACAACAAATATTTAATACGTACGTACGTACTCGGGAACTTGCTTTTGACAATTATAGTTCTCTCTAGCCAATAAAAACAAATTTCCATTATGCTTCTAATCGGTATTAATGTGGCACACATGTTACACGTATGTATTTCTTTTCTGTTTAGGATATGTAGTTTTTCCGAATGTTGGAATTACTAGTACGTACGTACGTACTATTTCCACATGTTGGGTTCCAATACCGATACTGTAAAATAATAGAAAACAGCCAACCATCCTGACACTTTTACTTGCCTCCAATACAAGAACGTTAATCACCATATTACGAAAGAAACTTTATTGATTCAGCATATTCGATAAAACAGCACACGTATTTGACGTATTTGCTGTATTTGCTGTTAAACCCAGATCCACTATGCCATAAGCTCAAGTATAAAACCTGGACCTTTCATCAAGTTTATACTTGCCAAAATTGAACAATTAGTAGCTTAACTTTTCCTCATGTCAAAGTCATTATATATCGATATCGATACGTATCAAATATTATTTGTCATTACTGTTCAAGCCACCACGACTACTGGCTTTATCATGTGATTGCAGATCTCCTCAAACCTTTTTATAAGTTTTCTTAAATCTTTTTACGTACTTTTTCGTTTTTTAATATTATATAGTTTAAAAAAAGATTCTTTTTGATTGTTTATAATTTATTTTTTTAATACTTCGTTTACGCAAGCCGCTAACATTTTTATTTTTGACGTGCATTTTCTTTGGGTACGACGGAGTTGTAATAAAATTAAAAACCTTTTAATTTTACAAATCTTAAACCCAATGGCTTTAGCAAATGCATCTTTTTCAGAAATTTTGGACGACTTATCAAGGTTTAGGTTTACTTAGAGTAGCTTTGTGTTCTTGAATTGAATACTTACAGTTTTCGTACTTTTAATCTAGTCGATTCATAATAAATGTGCCAGAGGAAGAATTGGCTTCTGTGGAGCGCATATGTTTTCAAATTGAACAGGCTCATTGGTTTTATGAAGATTTTGTTAGAGAACAAAACCCAAGTTTGCCAAGCTTTAATTTGAAAAATTTCTCTGCAAAATATATCCTTTTGATTCAATTGATCATGATCATCGAAAATATTACAATGAATAATTGTCACAATATCGAGATGCGCCAATTTTTTAAATATCAAAACGTTATTTCTATCAATCTTTTGCCGGTACCATTATTTAAACTATTCCTAACTCTTGCACACTTTTTAAGCATTGTCCGCTATTACATCAATGGTCTCATGAACACGAAAAAGCGTTTGCAGATTTCATGCAATATAAAATTCGGGTTCCTGTGTGTGGTGCCATTATGCTAAATAATGCAATGGACCAGGTTACTTTTCCTGTTTTTAAAGTACACTATATTCTTCAGTTCTTACTGTTAATTCGGTTTTTTTTTTTTTTTTTTTTTTTGATCAGTGTGTATTGGTAAAAGGGTGGTCATCTCGTTCCGGATGGGGATTTCCTAAGGGAAAAATTAACAAAGATGAGCTAGATTCTACATGCGCAGCTCGCGAGGTTCGTTTTTCTATTCAAATTAAATTATCATGGCTGCAATTTTCTAAATACATTCAACAAATCGGTAGGTTCTGGAAGAAACCGGATATGATATATCCCCACTAATTAGGGAACAAGACTACGTAGAACTAACTATTCGCGAACAACGAATAAGACTATACATAGTTGTTGGTGTTCCTGAAGATACCGAATTTTGTCCAAAAACGCGAAAAGAAATTAGTGTGCGTCATCCTCTAATTCCTATCTAAATTCTAAAATGTTTCCATAATTAAATAATATTAATAAATTTATTTACAATAATAGAAAGTAGAATGGCATAAAGTATCTGACTTACCAACATGGATCAGGAGTAGAGACAAAGATACTCCTTATCATTGTGGAGGTGGTTGTGTAAAATATGGGAGCAGTAGATTTTACATGGTCGTTCCTTTTGTTAGGTATGCACAGAGTGTTATCCGGTCCATTGTTGAATTACAAATTGCTTTGATATGCGTAAATAATTATCAATGTATACTATTTAAAGTAAACTTCGACATTGGCTAAAATCACAAAGAAAAATGGTACGCAAAAGAATAACTGATGAATCACAACAAGAGGAATCTTCTGAAGTTGTGGTATTTAATGGTCATGGTGCAGACTCTGGACCAAAAGAAACATCTCCAGAAACCTCTGTACCAGGTACAGAAAGTGAAGGTAGTCCTCATGAACAATCACCAACGTTTAGTGGGAAATTACATGAACCATCTCCAAATATCCACGGCACGTCTCAGACAATTATGCGATCAATGTTTAGTCTAGATACCCCTATATCCACACAAATACCTACGTTTTCCACTTCACTTCCCCAAGAATTACAACAACTTAATGCTTCGGATGCAGGACTAAATTTTGAGTATAACCCAATGCCAGCATCAGAATTTACACAATCTCATTCATATTTCACAACTTCACTTCCTCTTGGCCAACCATCTTTTGATTCATATACCTCAAATGGCTTAAATTTTCATCAATCGGTACCTAGTAAAAATCAATCCTCCAGTTTATCAAACGTGGAAGGTGCGAAGTTACATATGCCTAGAAGAAAATCGTCAATCGGTTCTATATACTCTAATTCTCATTCACATAACCACACGACAAATAGTAGTGATATAACAGCCCCTGTCCCGATAAATGCTAACTCCAACGCTGCCATCGCTGCATTGGATCCGGAACAGAAACTTCGTCGAAACTCATTATTGAGTTTATTTACTGCTTCAACTTCAACTAAACAATGTGATACAACAACTCCTGTATCATCTGTAGCAGTAGGTCATGAAGATCAACATAGAAATTCGTTGCTAAACGTTCTTCAATCCGAAATACCTTCAGTTTCCAATCAAATTTATCCGAATTCCACTTCTATACCCTGCGATGATATCACTCAGCATAAAACGCAACAATCATTATTACATTTTCTACCTAGTTCATATGATCATGTTAACACGGACGTTATGTCGAATTCTAATGCACATACCAATACTGTGTTCAGTATGTTTCAGCATTCTGCTGCTCAAAGGAATCAGAAAGTCATGACATCACATTCTAGCACAATTCCTGATGCAAATTATTTAGGAAATCGTCGAGATTCCGCATTTAGCAGACATTCGAGTCAAGGCATTGCCACTCCTAAGTTATCAACTAATGTTGGTCCTATTGGGCAAGGAAGACCTTCGAATAATAATGAAAACAACAATCCCGAAATCCATGAAGTCGCACGGAAAATGTCATTATTGGGTTTATTTTCTACGGCTTACTCATCAAATTCCGATAAGAACACTCCAAATACTTGTCTCACAACTGCCGAAAGTCCAATAAAACCACAAAATACTTTTTTTTCCTCTTCAACTATGAACTCACAACTGGGCATACCAGGTACTCCTAGTTCGCTAAGGGTAAATAAAGAGTCTTTGTTACGTCTAATAACGGCTTCTCCTCCGCCGCAAGGCGCTCCTTTATCTCCTAAAGTATTTGACGCAGAAATTCAAGCTCAAGAAAGAGCACTGCTAAATCTTCTAAAGTCGTCAAATCCCTCGAATAATGGTGTTTTGAATGAAAATGGTTCACCTAATCTTATGAGTAATGGTTCAATGGCTTCAATTTCTCATGGGTATGACCAAAAAATATCTGAATTTGGCCATTCCAACAATGAACATGCTCGTGTTGAAATTAACAAAGAAAATAATCCATTTTTGGACGACTATGTAAGATACATTCCGCAGAACGATAAATTGAATGAAAATGGAACTAACATGTCCAGTAAACGGGCGTATCCTGAAACCACAAAAGTAGAAGTTTCACCGGATCTTCGGGTTCGTCACGAACTTCTTGATAGAATTCATGCGTTTATCCCTCCAGGCGGTACGAATCTAAAGGATGGATTTAACTCACGTGTTCGACGCCATGGCAACAGTGATAATCCCATGGTCAATTTCAAATTTGACGTAGAAAAGATCGTTGCAGCGTTATGATCTCCTAAAGTACTTGATTATTACAAATTATGATTTATTCAAGATAACTGATGCTATTAATTCTTGTCTTAATCTATATTAATACTTTTATAGATGCAGACAAATTTAGATCGCCATATAAAAAGCTAATGCATGTATTCTTAAGTCTTTTGAATAAACATTTTTTGTATTTATCTTTCAAAAAATATTAGTATTGGGATTGTGAATAATCCACTTGATATTTTATTGATTGGCCAATAAAATCACCAGGCCGGATAGAACGTTTATATACGTCTTCGAAAAAAAGATTATTTAAAATTTCAAATTAAAAACACAAACGCATCTATGGTGCTTTATACTAGAGGCCTGCAAATTCTTAATTTCCGGCCCGCAATTAGGGTTAAAAATTTTTGCCGGCCCGGCCCGAAAATTTTACTGCTATTTTCATAATTTCTGGAACACCTGATAAAAATTGACCGAATGGTACTCCAGCCGATTCGAAATTTCGGAATAATAGATTCAATAAAAATACAAAATTGTACGTATGCGCGTAAGTACGTACGTCAGGGTTGTAAAATTACCGTAATTTACGGTAAGTTACTAAAACTTATAGTAAATTACTATGGTAAATTACCATGATAAAAAATTTTAATTGGCCAAGATTATACGTATGATCGGCCAAGATTATACATATGATCGACCCATATGGGCGGAAATCAGGTGGGTTAGTCATGGCAGAAAAATGTCTAATACCCTAGCCATGGCCAGGGTTGTATAATTTCCGTAATTTACGGTAAGTTACTAAAACTTATCGTTATAGTAAATTACCATGGTAAATTACCATGATAAAAAATTTTAATTGGCCAAGATTATACATATGATCGGCCATATGATCGACCAAAGATTATGCATATGATCAGCCAATATTTAATAGAAAAGTTGACTATACATATAAAGTTAATGCCAGCCAAAATTAAGCTTAACTCCGCAGTAATTTGGTAACTTACGGTAATTTATCAGTAACTTACTATCGGTAAGTTTACATTTACAACCCTGGCCATGGCGAAAACGAAGTGTCGGGTCATGTGAGTTCCGGCACCTCCGACTTGACATCTGACCCGAACATTTGTAGATCTATACTACAACCAATCAAAAATGCACACGACTTTTTTGCATTATACGTACGAACTGTTTTACTATTATTATCCAAGATCTTTCGCGTCTTGCTCAATTAATGTTCAATAATCATACTTATACTGGAACGTCAAACAATTTCTCAGTAAGCTCAAAGTAAAATTACACGGTTTTCAAGAAAAAAAATTATTTGAACGTTTTAACTGTTATTTCAGTTTTATTTAGTATTTTATATATTTTTGAGCTATTGAACGATCTATTTTAATCTTTGGTAAACTTTGGAGGTTGGTAAAAAAAACCATGCTTATAACTTATTTATATACGATAAAAAATAAAAATTGGGCGATAAAAACTCGAAAAAAAGAATTTTTTTAGCTAAAAAAAACTGGGACGTGATAAAAGATTTAAGGATAAGTGAAGTTTTTTAACTACGATTTTCTCAATAATAGAGCTTAAAAAGTTAAAAATTAGGAATTGATAAAGAAACTTTTTTCTATTACAGATTTATTCTCCTGAACAAAAATTAGCGCAACCAAAATGCAAGTTTCCCACTTTTTTGCCATGTTTTTTGTTGCCTATTGGCTTGTAGCGAATCCTGACATTCACTAATTTCTTTAACTAATGGTTTCATCAAGTTATCAAAAGCATTTATGAAGTTATGATTATCTATCTCTCTTTCATATAATGATAATGCCGTTTCCATTAATTTTTTATATTTAGATAGATTTTCTCGTCTCTCTTCAATAACATTGTGCTCTACTATTAGTGATGCATTTTTAAGGTGGGTAGTGCTAGTACATTCTTCATTATTAGAATTATTTATCATAATCATCTCATGTCTAAACCAAGGGTTGTTTATTAGATTAATCGTTGTTACTTTGTCTTTTCCAAAAACGATTAAAGGATGATCATGTCTACGTGTTGTCTCTATGAAGATAGGTCGGAAATGAGTGCCATTTATTTTGGTTGAGATGTTTGCAGATGAGGTAACGACTTCGTAAGTATGCAGAACATGAGCATACCCAGTCATTAATATCAACATGATATATTTCATCCATATCTGGTCGAACTTCTGTGATTGATGCTTTGTCCCAATCTCATTTAAAACCAATCCACCATGCTGGAAAGGTTCTATTACCATCAAATTGATCTAATTTGAATTCAAAATTAGGTATTAGATGTGTTATAAGAATTTGGGTAAGGCGATCAAGCCGTGGTTGGTTATAATTATACTTGTAATTATATTTAAGAACCCACCAATGGCTTTTTGTAATCATAGTAGTTCATGCTAATGGTATAGCTGATGGGTATGCTGAACAGGCAAAAAGTTTTCAATCTTTTTTGTTGTACCAATTTGCTCATAGATAGCCCCAAAATTTATCAAGTTTTTTATTGTAGCAAAATTTATAGGCTTCTTCTACGCAATTTTGGTAAATAGTAGCAGAATTTCAAAATGTATTTTTAGCTACTAGTATTAGAGGGTGCATATTTAAATGTTTTTTTATGATTTCTAAAAATTCTTTAACAGATTCTTCTGGACATAGAACTCCTGCAGTTGTATTTGGTATCCAGTTAGGGTCAATAAATTTGAATTGTTGATGTGCTTCAGCGGCCTTTGTTTTAGTATATTCAACTGATTTTGGTTTTTTATCTTTTAGACATTTATTTATAGCATGTTCAAGATGCCAGCAACATAACTGAATGTTGATAATTCATGACCATGTTTCACTTATTGCTGATATTTCTTCAGCATCTTTATCAACAAATGCAAATATTGGAAACAGACCAATTTGGTGAAGATTTTTAAAAAATTCACACAAAACTTGTGTTCTTGTGTAAATTTTATTTTTGGGATCATTAAGTACTAATTCATTACTATCAAGTGTTAGAAAATAAAGATATGCTAAAGAAACACCATATCCACCATGATTAGCATTTATGACAAAAAGTTCAAAACGTTCTTGGTTTGTTTTGAAAGTTGAATCTACAACAATTTCAGTTATATTTTTAATACCAATGCGATTAAGCATTGGTGTTATAAATCTAAGAGCTTTTACGAAGTCATTTTCCTGATAGTAAATTATTTTATATCCTTTTTTTATAAATTCTTGTTGTTCAATATATGCTTTTGATGATAAAAGTTAATTTGAATGATCCATAATATAAGTTTCCTTACTAAAAACAGAAACTCAATAATATACCTGCTCTTTAGTATGAATCTGAGGATTAATATGCTCTTCATTACAAAGACGTTTATATATTTCTGGATTTCGCAAATTATATTTAATATTTGTTCTAATCCACTCTTTTGCTTTTGTTGGAAATTGGGTATTTCTATAGGTTGGATGTGGGTGTCTTTTTAAATGCTTTCCTTGAATTAGAATATGCCGTAGTTGGGAATCAATTATAAGCGAAATATTTCCTTTACAAGAATATCTTTCTATTGGAACCTGAGCTTCACTTTTTCGTTTTACTGGCTGATTCTCAGGCCTTTGTCATTGGCGATCTTTTCGTTGTATACATCCAAGGTAAACAGTTGCACATCTAGTAAACTTTTCTTTATTATAATTTAAATATATTTTGCGTATCTCCCAATAATATTTAGATCCAGATTCGATAGCAATGATAATGATTTTTGATAATTGACGGAATTGGTTTTTTATTTCTTCTAAATCAAGTGATTCAGATTTAAGATCAAAGTTAATATATTCTGAAAGATTTATATCCAATTCAATTTCAAATGCGAATTTTACAGGTTCATCATTGCAATTTTCTAAAATTTGAAAACTTGTACTAATCTGCTCTTCTATTTCATTAACACTATAAAGAAACCTACTATCATCATTGTCATAGCGATTATTTTCATTATTCATTTGAAATATATTAATTATATCTTCTTCGGAAATTTCTTGCACAAAGAATGGTTCAGAAACTTCAAGATTATTATCTTCAAAATTAGTACTTGAAATGCTACTTGCAGTTCTAGTACTAAGACCTGTTTTTAAGAGCTTTGTTTTTTTTGCTGATATTGGATTTAAATTTTGTTTTTCTTCTTATTCTTACATCTTTCATAGCACCTATTGCAAGTTTCCTTTTCACTTGGCCCATCTCCAAGATCACGAATGAAATCAATTACTTTTTTTGTAGTATGGCAGCCAGTACACGATTTAGGTTTAGAAATTTGTATTGATTCTATTAAAAAAAAAAGGTAAATATTTTTACAATATAATTAATTGTTATGTGAATCTAAGGAATTAAATTAAACCTTCGCAGATTTTGTCGCTCATTTTGTATTTTGTTTAGATAAAAGTAAATTTCGCAATTTAAAATTTTAATTTATATAAGAAGAGTTTTTATTATATATTAAAACAGGTAACAACTATACCACCTTTATTAAGGCATTTTCAAAGAGGTGTGAGATGATTTAAGCAAGTATTAGTTCATAGAAAATATGTATTTTTATTTAATATTTTCTGCGATCAACTTTATACATTTTTAAAACCACTAACAGATTATAATTTTATGCTACTATTTTCTCACTTTCAGTTATTCTCAGATTTAGCAAATGAGTTTTTTTATCAACTTGCCATTTTGAAATCTGGTCTTTTTGATCGCTACTAAAACCTGAACTTTTAATTGGCATAAAACCTCTAATTTATTATTTCATTCCGCCACTATGAAACCCGGGCTTTTCAATCATAAACTATTTTCAATTTGGTCATACATTGGTCTTTCGATTATGCATGTTTCACTCAATTTCAGTTTTTCTGATTATGCATGTTTCACTCAATTTCAGTTCTATCACGATTATATGCATCATGGCTTATCAGATCGTTATTTGGTAAAGACTATATGATAGTTGGTTTAAGTCAATATTATTCAATTTATAGCATAATCTTGATGCTAAATTCTAGAGCTAGTGATATCTGATTTAATTTATTTATTAGAATGAATATTAAATAAAATATATATTTAATTTATTAAATTACTGTATGAAATAACTTGATTATAGATTTTATTAAAATTTGAAACGTGTAAAATACTATAGAACATATCTAATTTAGCATAAAAAATATGATTTATATGATTAAAGAAAAATTTACATACAGCGAATTCATGGTTCGCTTTTCTTATGAATATATAAATTTGATTGGCTGTAGTGAATATCGGGCAAGTGTCAAGTTGGAATGGTCAGAATGGTCGGATATCACATGACCCGACACCTTGTTTTCGCCATGGCTAGGATACTTAAAAATGTCACGGTGACGTGATCAGCAATCACTCCGACCCTGATAATACAAATTACGTATTATGTCAAAATGATTATTAGTCTACGTATAAAAGACTAATATTGTAACGATAATTTCAATATAATACGTAATTTGTATTATCAGGGTTGGAAGTGGTCACTGATCATATCACCACGACATTTTTCTGCTATGACTAACCCACCTGTGAAAATCTTCAATTTTGTGATTAGTTTGTGATTAGATAAGTTGAATGATGAGATTAAATAGAATTTGAGCCAATAATATATATAATACAATGTGATTACTAAGATTAAAAGTGATTATTTGTCGGTGATTGTAAAATTGCTTATGAATTGCTTTTGAGTTACTTATCAGTTTTTATGAGCAATGTACCGAACAGATCAGCTAAAAATAACCCAAAACTGATCCGTTACTTATCAGTTTTTATAAGTATTACTTTGTTATATCACCTAATTTTATATAGTCACAGCACTCCACTAAAAATTTCCATCCATATGCAAAGATTATACATATGATTAGCCAAGATTTAATAGAAAAGTTGCCAGCCAAAATTAAGCTTAACTCCGCAGTAATTTGGTAACTTATGGTAATTTATCAGTAACTAGGAATGTAAAATTATTGCAATTTTGCATAATTTTAATGTAATTTTGCTGTAAGTATCGTAAATCAATTTTTCAAAATGCAATAATGCTACCGAAATTTTGTAAATCTGAAGCTTCATTTATGGTGTGTGAAAATTACATGAAATCTAATTTATTGAAATTTATGTAAAATTACGTGTAATATAAAATTGTAATTTATGAAACACAACCTTACTAGCGCTAGTAACTTACTATCAGTAATTGTGGCAAATTAAAATGAAATCAGATTAAAATGAAATGAGAAATAGTGTAAAATAGACAAGCCACTGAAAAATACAAATTTTTGGAGTGCATTTTTTTAGTATTTTTTTAGGGGTAGAATTAGGGTTTAGAAGCAGGTTTTATAATAAACAAGTATAAGTGGATTTTAGAGGGTTAAATAGAAACCTCTCATTTCATTTTAATTCAATTTCATTATGATTTGTGACAGTAATTGTGTAAATTTCAGTAACTTGAATTTTATGTAATTTTTACACATATTATATTATGAAAAATTTAGCTAGCATTATTGAACTATAGTAGATTTGCATAAAGTTCACTAATCAAATCAATGTACATATGATCCAACCAATCATATAAGTATATAATCATGTTTTTTACAAATTATATGAAAACCATATTACTGAAAATTTATACAAAATTTCACAAAATTACATAAATTACAGTAATTTGACAACCCTAATCAATATAATCCTGACATATATACATCATATATATAATGTAATTTAGATTCAAAATCAATGACTTAATTGGAATGGTTGAAAAATCATTTGGTTAATTTTTATCAGGTGTTTCAGAAATTATGAAAATAGCAGTAACAAATTATATAAATAAACCTTTCTATAATTACTTTCTTTATAGTTACAAAATCAATATAATTATAATTTTATTTTTAATAATCTTTTTTATATCAATTGTTATGGCTGATGTTAAATTTAGCTAATGTTGAATATTATGTGAAAATTTGGGCTATTGTATATCAATTAAAAAAAAATCAAAACAAACATTTGGTTTGTTTATAACTCAAAAATTTGTATATTTATACTCTGGTCATTATATCAAAATGCAGAGCATAAATCAGTTATACTTTGAGTATTATGTGTATAAGTGGAACTTTTAATCCTGTTTATATCCAATTGCTTAGAATATAATTATTACTAACAAAAAGTTTTCTTAGATAATTTTGCTATTATATCTACTAACACCTATCTATATCATAACTATTAACCCTAACTGAAATGAAGTTTAATGATTATTACAGATCTAATAATGAAATTTTGATAGCTTATTGGCTAGCTAATAGGTCTACTAAAGATCATATATATCTTATAATATTTGTCCAATAGATACTATCCTATAGCTTATCACAATTTGGTATATATTTGTAACCTATCAGCCTAACACATATTAGCAAATTTCACCAACCTATATATAGAATATCTACAAAAATATCAGCTAGTCTATATTGATAATAATTCCATAAATAATTATATGATATTTACAAAATTTCTATATAATTTATAAAACATATTAATAGAATTATAATACCTATTTATATATATAATCTAAATTATTAATATTACAAATTACAATAAGGGAAGTGTTATTTATCACCTGATTTTTTTTACTTGGTAGCCTACCCTCCCTTCCCCCATCTGACACTAAAAATTAGCTAATTAAATTATACAAAAATTTATATATATAAATTTATGAGAATTGCTAATCTTAACCGGGGGGAATTTTTTGGTTATACGATCTGAATATCAACCAATAATATCACAGATCGATTTTATATAAAATTAATATATATGTTTTTTATATTTATATTTTATATTACATAACAAATATTTTTAATGCATTGTATACAACAAACATAACAAATACGGCGAACTAATTCTACTCTAATACTTAATTCTACAATTTAACCTATTCTTTCAACCTGACCCTAATCTCCAATAACTGCTTTAACCCTAACTTCCAACAAACTATTTTAACCCAATCCTAACCTCCAATATAGTTACTCTAAGCCAGTCCTAACCTTTAAAACAACCACTAATCAGGATCTTTTATTTTCTCACCAATTTCGATTGTAACTAAAATCAATGAAAGTTAACACCTTCAAGAACAACAACATCAGGAAACAGCAGAAATTTATTAACAACGACACCAGAAACTACGCTAGCAAATGACAACTCAGTTATCCAGTTACTTTTTTTAAAAAAAAACTCTGATTAGTAAAGAGAAGAGTAACGTGTACAAAAAGATAACAGCAAGGTAATGACAGCACCTACAAGACAACAGAAATGCATCAACAGGCGATAATATATTGGACCTAGCTGCCGCACCAAAATTGTCGCAGCAAATTCTTGATTTTACTAAGAGTGACGATCAAAAATTAAGGCCGAAGTTACTTAAAATTTTGCTAATGAAATTTTTACTATTGTATGAGCCTCTTTCTCTAAACATTTCTATTTTCGGAATGAGAAGTTATAAGGTTAATTCCAGCCAAAAATTATGTAGGCAATTATGTAATGCGGGCCAAAATCACAGCTATTAGCCATTCAAAATCGAGAATCTGCTGTGACAAAATTGGTCCAGCAGCCAGATCTAATGCAATAATACTGTCGACCACACCGGCAAATGACAAATAACAAGTGAAAGTCAATACGACCCAACGTAGCGACAACATCTACGAAACATACAAATGTGACAACACCAGGCAATTCTAGATAACTACACTCAAACAAAACAACCTCAGGATGCGACTTATAAAACTAAAAAAAAAACATTAAACAAAAGAATAGTTAGTAAAGAGAAGAAAAAGCCACAAGAACAAAATAAAAACCAAACCGATACCTTATATGGACAACCTAACGACGAAACGTAATGATGAAACCTACGAACATGAAAAACAAAAGAATAGTTAGTAAAGAGAAGAAAAAGCCACAAGAACAAAAGAAAAACCAAACTGATACTTATATGGATTATTCAACGACGCAACGTAACGATGAAACCTACGAACATGAGAATACGATAATATCAAGTAATTACGACAGAAAACTACGATAACCCAAGCAAAATGAAGCACACGAAGAGCACCGAAGAACGACACTCCCAAACAGGAGACATCGAAAAACGACGACATCGAAGAACTATGATATGAAAAGAAGATAGGTTTAAAAGAAATAGGTGCTATATAAAAGAAAAGAAACTACTAAATTAAAAAATATATATATGTAAATCAGTGATCCGGGTATTTGTATAGATCACTGATCTGTGTAACTGAGAAATTCCCTCCTGGTTAAACGTAGTAATTCTCTAAATTTATATAATTAATATAATTTTAAAAATTAATAACTTTTGATCTACTGATCC